TAACACCCCTGTGCAATGTTTACACTGTGCAAACCTCTCTGTCTTGTACGCATTTGCTGACACTAAGTGCTAGCTAGCAGAGAGTCTATTCAACAGCTATAGTATATTACTTTAAAAGTGTTTTATTTTATTTAAAAGCTTAAAGTGTAAGCTATATGTCGCGTACACTAAGAGCCTTAGCTGGGGCTTAGAGCCTGGGACGCGGCTCAGGATCTAGAGATAGTATGTTCCGAAGCTTAGTGTATATAAGGAGAGCCTTTAACTCTCTTAGATAGCAGAGTCACTTCATCTAATCTTCTAAACAGCTACTGCTAGGCTATTTTATTCTCTACACTATATCTAATAATTTTTTGCACATCTAAGTAGTGTTATTAGGAATGTATTAGTGTAGAAAAAGTAGTTTAGTAAGGTCTTAGTAAAAGTAAGTAACCTAGGTGTGTAAGCAACTTGCCTATAGTGTATGTTAGATATTATTCTTAGAAATTTTATACTTAATAATAGTGTTATCTATAACGTACTTTACAGGCGAGTTGCTTACACACCTAAGTTGCTTACTTTTGCTAAGACCCTACTAAACTACTCTTTCTACACTAATGCATTCCCTACAACACTACTTAGACGCGCTAAAAAAATGTTAGATACAGCTTATGCTCTAAGCTTTTAAATAAAACATAAAACTTTTAAAGAAATATGCTATAGCTATGTGCAAGGTTTTATAAAAAATAATAAATAATTATAGCACTAGATAACCTTTATAAGCTAATTCTACAGCTAAATTATAAAGGCTAGGTAATAAAAAGAAGTAGGTTATTATTAAGACTATACTTAAGCTATATGCGCAAGGAATTTCCTTTTAGATATTATTTATAGCTAATATAGCTAATTCTTTACGCGCTAAGTATAATCTAGGCTATATTTATATAAACTAGCTTAGTATATTTATAAAGTGTTATTTAAAGCTTAAAGTAAAGTTTTAAGCGCAAGTATAGTTAAAAAATATTTAGCTAATTATAAACTTTATTTTACTAAAGTTATACATGTTATTATTCTAGATGCTATACTTAGCTTTAATATTCTTTATAAGGCTAAACCTGCTTTAAATTACTGTAGAACTCTTATAGAGAGCTCTTTTATAGTTATACTTATGCTTAAATGTTACTTTAAGCTCTAAATAACACTTTACAAACATACTAGGCTAGTTTATGTAAATATAGCCTAGATTACACTTAGCGCGCAAAGAATTAGCTATATTAGCTATAAATGCCATTTAAAGAGAAATTCCTTGCGCATATAGCTTAAGTATAGTCTTAATAATTACCTGCTTCTTTTTATTACCTAGCCTTTATAATTTAGCTATAGAATTAGCTTATAAAGGTTGTCTAGTGCTATAGTTATTTATTATCTTTTATAAAACTTTACACATAGCTGTAGCATATTTTTTTAAAAGTTTTATATCTTATTTAAAAGCTTAAAGCATAAGCTGTATCTAACATTCTTTTAGCACGTCTAAGTAGTGTTATAGGGAATGCATTAGTGTAAGAAGAGTAGTTTAGTAGGGTCTTAGCAAAAGTAAGCAACTTAGGTGTGTAAGCAACTCGCCTGTAAAGTACGTTAAGTGTAAACTGCTTTTAAAGTTATAATTATAAATTTCTTTTAAACTTTATAGTATATTAAATAAAGTTTATACTCTATTTACACTAATATAGTTTAATATAGCTTAAACTATAATAGCTTTGTAGTTTATTAGCTATATTTTCTTCTACTTAAAGTAAAAACATTAATTATAAATCTAAGTTAAGTATATGCTTTATAGTAACTAAATTTTTTTTAAGTTAGCTATATAATTATGTTATAAAGGTCTACTGTTATGTTTTTAGATAAGTGTAGTTTTAAAAACTCTATAGATTACTAAAGTAACTTAAAGGCTAAAAATATTTAACTTTTTTTATTAATATATTAAAAGTTAATTAGTAAATGCATTGTTAATTAAAGTACAAGGTGCTAAAATTTTATTAGTGTAGACCGTTGGCTTGTGTGGACAGCTTGCTTGTGAAATACGTTATAGAGATACTTTATAATAGTATGTTTTAATAGCTTCTAGAATTAGCTTTCTTACCTAGTACATTTTGCATACTAAACTGTCAAGCACTGGATATTCTTCAAGAATAGGTGGGCAAGAACGCTGAAAAATCTTACTTACGCCTCTACTTTAGCATCTTTACTATAACGTACTTCATGGGCGAGTTGCTCACACACCTGAGTCGCTTACTTTTGCTAAGACCCCACCCTAACAAACTCTATTATAGCCTATAACAACCTGCTCTAGCACTATATAGTACAGTACAGCCTAGAATATTATTTAGATACTACTTCTGCTTCTTGCTTACACATTTACGTGTTATGCCTAGTCTAATTGCACTATCTGTAGCGCCTTTAGAATAGCTTACCTACTTTAGCTTACACCTGCTTCTTTACTTTCTTTCTGTTACTACGCGCTTTAAACTTCTTTAAAGCTGTTAAGCGTAGGCTTTTTTAAATTATTAAGGTTTTTTTTACTTTAATTTTTTTTTTATGTAATTTATGTTATGTAGTAGCTTTATTAGCTACTTAAAGCTTAGTAATTTCTTATTACACTAACACTAGCTTATGTGTAATTATTACTGCCTTTTTTAAAACTTTTTTAAACACCTTAACTATAAAAGTTAATAAACTATTTATATACTTCTAAATTTTTATTTTTATAAGCATTAATTATAACCTAAGTTTTAAAGTATTACTTAGAGTTTATAACTACTAGGGCTTATTATATATAAATAGTAGTAGTAATAGAGTGCGTAACTTTATATTAAGGCCTATTATAACTTATTATAGGTTAAAAGGAACTAATCTAGCGCTTTAGAACTTTTCTTAAATATTACTAAAAGTAATTATAGCATAATAAGCTACTTTAAAGCATAGTAAAAACTTTATTTTTATAATATAAGTAATTTAGTTATGTATAAGGTTTTTAGCTTAGCGCTTATACACTTTTTTTAAAAAAGTAAAAC